CTGCTGCTGCTGCAGCAACAGCTGCTGCTGCTGCTGCTGCAGCAACAGCTGCTGCTGCTGCTGCAGCAGCATCTATTGCTTCTAGGGGTTCGCATGCATGCAGCAGCAAATGCTGCAGCAGCAGGCAGAAGAAGAACAGCAGCACTGCACTGGTGCTGCTGCTTCATTTGCTGCTACTACTACTACTGCTGCTGCTGCTGCTGCTGCTGTGCCTTGCAGCAGCAGCAGCAGCAGCAGCAGGAACGAAGGGTGGAGGAATTGCTTCAACTGTTTTAATAAAGACATCAGCATAACAAAGACAGCCAAAAAAAGCATAGAGAGACAGACAGACATAGATAGAGAGAGCAGCAGCAGCAGCAGCAGCAGCAGCAAAGTATAAAAGGACACTACAAACAAACAAAGCAAAGAAATACTTCTCTACCCAATTGCCTGCATCAGACAAAAGACTGAAAACAGTTTCAGGTATTATAATACAAAATGAAAAGGCTTGCTCCCGTTGCTGCTGCTGCTGCTGCTGCTGCAGCAGCAGCAGCAACACTTCTCACCCTGCAGCCACACGAAGTGCCATGGGTACTTAATTAGCAGCAGCAGATCTTGCTGCTGCTGCTGCTGCTGCTGCAGCAGCAGCAGCATCGGCATCAGCAGCAGCAATAGCAGTAGCCGCAGCAGCAGCAGCAGCAATAGCAGTAGCCGCAGCAGCAGCAGCAGCAACCGACTGCATTCGCTGCTGGCGTTGGTTCTGCAGGTGTGTGTATTAATATCTTTCTATTTTATTTATCTCTCTGCTCGTTTATTTATTTATTTTTATTTTTATCTAATTAAAATCAATTGCGGTGAAGAGACAAGCAAAACCTGTTTGTTTGTCTGTAGTGTCTGCTGCTGCTGCTGCTGTTGCTGCTGCTGCTCTCTCTATCTATGTTTGTCTGTCTAAAAATATCAAAAAGAATTTTTTTTAGTTTTGTTTGTTTAGCCAGCACTATGAAGTTTAATTTATTTTATTAATTATATATGATATATATATATATATATACATATATATATATATATACATATATATATATATTTATATATCTATATACACCTATGCATATATATTCACATAGACATGTCTATGAAATTATATATATACATATATATATGTACGTATGTCTGCATTTATTCATATAATACTATGTATATATATATATATATATATTATATACATTATATTTATATAAATTTATATAATATATATATATATATATCTAAACCCTAAACCCTAGTCCCTCTCTCAGCAGGTGTCGATGACAGTTCCGTACGAAATCCGTCAAAGTAGGGTTTAGGGTTTAGGGTTTAGGGTTTAGGGTTTAGGGTTTAGGGTTTAGGGTATTCTTTGTAGATGCATCAGGTGTCTTCAGTTCCCTGTCTCTTTTTGTTTGTTTTTTCTTTCTTCTTTTTGTTTTCTGTTTAGGGTTTAGGGTTTAGGGTTTAGGGTTTAGGGTTTTAAACGAATATTTTTTTGTTTTTCTTTTGCATACACCACAACAAAAAGAGGGTTTGTAAAAACAAATTTATTTTTTCTTCACTTCTTCGTTCTTATTAAACAAAATATTTAGTATATATTAATTCCTCCTGTTGTATGCAATATATATATATATATATATATATGTATGTATGTATATTATAGATGTAGATATATTATAGATATATATCTATATATATTTTAGATGTACATATATTATAACTATATATATATATATATATTGCAGAATTAGAGATATATATATATAATTATAGATACAGATATATTACAGATATAGATATATATATATATATTATAGATAGAGATATATGATAGATATATAGATATTTAATTAAAGTTGTGTTGTTTGTTTTGTTCTGTTGAGGTGTAGAAGTTTAATTAAATTTTTCTGTTTTGTTTTTTTATTTTGTTTCTTCGTTTGCTTTCATTCTTTTCTTTGTGCTGCTGCTGTTTGCTGCTGTTGTTTATATTATTATTTGTATGTATGTCTCCCTCTGTTGCTTTTAATATACAGCGTAAACTCTAAACCCTAGACCTTCTCTTGCATCTTCAGAGACGGTGGCTAAGGAGCCCTTCTCCCTCAACCCTAAACCCTAAACCCTAAACCCTAAACCCTAAACCCTAAAACCTAAACCCTAAACCCTAAACCCTAAACCCTAAACCCTAAACCCTAAACCCTAAACCCTAAAAAACCCTAAACCCTAAACCCTAAACCCTAAACCCTAAACCCTAAACCCTAAACCCTAAACCCTTGTTTATTCTCCCTCTGCATCTGAGGGACCCAAACTTCTTAATTGCGTTTTACCGTCTTCTTCTTGCAGCTGCAGCATTAATAATGCCTTTAGACAAACAAAACACAAAAATAATAAAAACCTAGAAAGAAATTAACAAAGATATATATATATATATATGTATATATCTATAAACAAAAATATTAAACAAACAAGCCTAAAAAATAAACAAACAAGAAGAAATAAATAAAGCAATATATATATAAACAAATATTTAAACAAACAAACAAAACAAATAAAAACAAACAAAACAAACAAAACAAACAAAACAAATAAAAACGTTTAGCCATCCAGAAAACACATCACAACCCCCCTAAACCCTAAACCCTAAACCCTAAACCCTAAACCCTAGAAAATATTCGATCGCGTGTTAAATACATATATATATAGATATATATATAAATATATATATATATATATATATATATATATAAAACAAGCAGGTATATTAATAAATGAATACGTAAATAAATAAACAATAGATAGATAAACAAATAAACAAACAGACAGACAAACAAACAACTAAACAAACAAACACATATATATATATATAGAGAGAGAGAGAGAGAGAGATATTTATATTTATATATGTTTATATCTATTTATTTATATTTATATATTTATAATGCTGACTCTAATGCTGACTCTCTCTAAAATATATTTGCCTTCTTTATACTTTTGGCTGTCTTGTAGTGCATGTCGATATCTCTATATATACATATACAAACATATATTTATATAGATTTATATAGATTTATTTATTTATTTATTTATATTTATTTATATATTTATAACGCTGACTCTCTCTAAAATATATTTGCCTTCTTTATACTTTTGACTGTCTTGTAGTGCATGTCGATATCTCTATATATACATATACAAACATATATTTATATAGATTT